GGCGTGGTCGATCAACGTGTCGAAGGCATCGCGTTCGCTGCGCAGGCCAAACTCTTCCTGCACCGTCGTGATCTCCTCGGTGACGTACCGCGTTTGCAGTTGATCGTCCCGCTTCTTTACCACTAGCATCTAAAATGATAAATACGAAACGGGCATCGGTAGAGAACACACATGATTTACAAGACACACCGTGAGGTCCATTTAAGCTATCATTATGTTCTCTTCTGAAAAATGAGGCACCTGAACCAAGCCTGAAAATTATTTTGCATAAATCTACTGTTTGTTTGTTGACTATATGTATATATTACGGCATAACGGATGCCTCAATGTACTCCATGCTTCGCTTTTAACGAAACTTTAAACCCATAAGCTGATATATTGTAAGTAGTTGCTCACAACGTCCACTCGCATCCCTCCATTGCTAATTTTTTAAATGTATTTTTTACTAATATCTTATGAAAATTCAGATTTCGTTCGATTCCTATCACGTTCCACTGCATGAACTGTAACTATGCTATATTTCAATTGTTAATACCGAATTAATATTGACAAACGATAACTGAAACTGAATAATCATAAATTTAACCGTTTTCAGGAAATCAGAATTCCAGCATCTCGAAGCTATGCTAGAGCACAGCATGCATGTCACAAGCCTAGCACAGAAAGTGCGATGCCTCGTTCCTCCGGCGGTTGAGATAAATTTAGGCCTCGTCAAAGATTCTGCAGCCTTTCACGAAGACATTCGTAGAGCCTCAAATAAAATATGCGGCGTCAATTTACTTCACTACCTTTCAGAAGGAGTAATCCATATATGAGAGAGCTACGAAAACAGCAGCTTCGCCTGATAATTTAAATCAGAAGGAAGAGATGGATATTATCGCTAGAAAAGTGGTCGAATTTGCGGCTACAGTTGACACAAAAATATTAAACTATCTAAAACATTCTATTTATACAATGGAGTAGCAGCCACCGGTCTAATCTGTAGTCAGAAACAGACTCAGATCTGCTGTCGGCTGTACAGAAGATTATACACGATCGGTTCTACTGTTATTATCGGATGCCTACTAACTGCCTAACTTGAGTATGCATTGATCCTTCGACAACTCAATCCTCACAAATCTTGTTTATCACCATGTTAAATGTTATTGTTGCTCTTATACATTCCCTTGTAAATTACTTTCTTGATCTTGATGCGCAAAAATAAAGCAACTCGTAATGACCTGATT